GCCTGTCCTAGCTGGCTGGAGCCCCCGTCACCCCACGGTCTCTGCTGCCATCGGCCAAGGCCAGCGGCCTGAGCCATCCGCCCTCAGGCTTGCCCGGACCAGGCCCATCCAGGGCCCTGGGGTCACCGCTGACCTTGATCTCCAAGCACAGCCTCAGCCTCCGTAGCCAGGCCATGAGGAGGGCTCAGAGGGTCAGCGCTGTGGGTCCTTGACCCCTGGGCCACTCACCTGTGTAGCCTGGCTCACACGCACACTCGAAGCCATCGATCTTATCCAGACACGTGCCCGAGTCACAGGGGCTGCTGGCACAGTCGTCCAGGTTGATCTCACAGTTGGGTCCTGGGGGGTGGGGGACACATGGCGGTCAGCTCCTGAGCCCCCCCAGCCCCAGCCCCGCCGAGCCCGGCCAGGCACCTGTGGTCCCCTTGAGGCAGAGGCACTGGTAGGCGTTGTCGCGGTCCTGGCAGGTGCCCCCGTGGCGGCAGGGCTGGCTGTGGCACTCGTTGATGTTGGTCTCGCAGTGGTGGCCGGTATAGCCCGGCTGGCACAGGCAGGTGAAGGTGGCGACGCCGTCCTTGCAGGACCCGTAGTGGCAGGGGTCGGGGTCGCACTCGTTGATGTCCACCTCGCAGTGGGGCCCCGTGTAGCCTGCGGGGCGGAGGCCACGGGCTCAGGGCGGCTGCTCCTGGGCACGAGACCGTCCCCTGCCTGGGACTCTGCCACCAGACCTAGAGTGCCTGTGCTCCCACCAGGGAGGACCAGGTTCATCTGCATCGAGAGACCCTCCCCAGTGCCAGGGTCAAAGCTGAGCTGGCTCCTGGCCCTGGGCCAAGGCCCCAGACCGTGAGGGGCCTTAACCCACCACCCTGCCGGCCGAACTCCCAACGGCCCGCCGCCCCCGCTGGACGCCCACGCTGCCTCTGCGCCCTCCACCCGGCCGCGGTCGGGCCTCACCCTCCGTGCACACGCAGGTGTAGGTGTTGGGCCCGTCCAGGCACTTGGCGCCGTTCCTGCAGGGTGTGCTTGCGCACTCGTCCACATCGTACTGGCACAGGCTCCCGGTGAAGCCTGTAGCCCGGGAGGGGCAGCGGTCAGGCCAGATGGGCCCTGTGGCCGAGCCCCGGCCGGACCAGAGCCGTGTGCATGCGGAATGAGCTCGGCGGACCCCAGCATCGGCCCCGACGACCTCAGCTCCCGACCTTCTGGTCAAACCCCTCCCGGCACCCCCAAAGAAGGGCCTTCCCCAGACTGACTGCGGTTGCGTGGGGCTCCCCACTCAGTGTCTGGGAAGTGACTGGGACGGCTGATTTACATCTTAGGAAGCCCGAGGCTCCAACTGGCCACGGGCCCCGGGACAGGCGGCCTGCGGGCACATCAAGCCTTTCGGGCCATCGAGTCCACCGCGGGCCGGCACCCCCGGCCGTGAGCTCCCAGAGGCCCGGGCTGGTGCCCCTCCCAGGACACCCAGCACCCTAGGAAACCCCAGCAGTGAAGATGACAGTCTCTGGGCCCTGGGCACCCCCAATCCCGGGGCGAGTATACCCAGCGAGGCGCTCCCCCGCCCCCCGCATGGCCTTGCACGTTGGGGGAGCCTGGAAACACCCGCACTCAGTCCTGAGGACGGCTCGCCCTGCAGCCAGCCCCGCGGGAGCACAGGACGGGTACCCGGGGCACGAGGCCAGGCCCGGGTGGAGGCCGGTCCCTCTGCCAGGGGCAGCGCGTGGGGCCGGGGGCAGCCCGGGGGCAGCACCTGTGGGGCACTGGCACAGGAACCCATTGATCTTGTCCAGGCAGCGGCCGTTCTGCAGGCAGGGGCTGCTGGCACACTCGTCCGTGTTCACTTCGCAGTGCACGCCCTCGTAGCCTGGGGGGTCAGCGCACGCGCCATGAGCGGTCCGCGGCCCTCATCACAACCCTGGTGGGCGGCTCTGGACACAGGCAGCGACTCCCAGCTCCAGCCGCCCACAGGAGACGGCCCAGCGGTCCCCCACACCTGACCTCTGGCAGCCCACCCCGGCCCCGCCCTCTGCTGCGCCCTGAGGCCCGGCTTCCCCAGTGAGCTCCCGCGGGGGTCAGCCCTGCGGGCCCCACGCACCGGGCATGCAGATGCACTGGAACTCCCCGATCTGGTCCAGGCAGGTGGCGTCGTTCTGACACGGGTTCGAGACGCACTCGTTGACGTCGATCTCACAGCGGGGGCCGGTGTAGCCCTGCAGACACTGGCACTCGAAGGAGCCCAGCGTGTTGATGCACCTGCCTTTGTGCTCACAGGGGTTGGCGCCTGGGGTGCGGCAGGGAGAGGGGGTGCATGGTGAGGGTGCGGCAGGGAGAGGGGATGGCGTGGAGAGGGGCTGCTCCTGGCACCCTGGCCCCCGGAACACTTAGGGACCTGCCCGCCAACCCACCAGACGTGATCCCTCAGGGAGGCACGCCGCCGGTCAGCCCGGGACCCCTCTGAGGGCAGAGGCCATCCCCACCGGGGGCCCCAGTGCCCACCGAGCCCCGCTGGGCACGTACCCAGCGAACACTCATCCACGTCCTGGCTACAGGCTGGCCCCGTGTACCCCGAAGGGCAGGTGCAGATGGCCTTGCCGTTGACGGGGTTGGTGTCGCAGTTGGAGCCCTCGTTGCAGGGGTTGCTGATGCAGGCGTCGTTGAGGTGGCACAGCAGGCCTGGGCAGGGGTCACGGTCAGCAGGGCCCTGCCCCTCCCCGCCTGGCAGAGGCTGACTGCCCCACAGCTGGCTCCGCCCGCACCCGGACGTCTCGGGGAGCAGCCTGCCACTGTGACCCTGAAGGTCGGCCAGCGGGCCCGGCCGCGGAGGCCCCTGCCCCGTCTTCACCCCAGAAAGACCCCTTCCGGGTTGTTCTCGAGGCCCCAAAAGCCACTCTGGTGTGAGCGAGGTCACGCGCCCCAGGCTCGGCCCAAGTGAGCCCCCCGCCGGCGTCCCCACCCCCGCCCAGCCGGGGCCGGGCGCTCACCGGTGCGGCCGTGGGGACACTCGCAGTAGAAGGAGGCCACGCGGTCGTGGCAGGTGGCGCCGTGGAAGCAGGCGGCGCTGGCGCAGTCGTCGATGTTCTCACTACAGTCCTCACCCGTCCAGCCGTTGACGCACACGCAGTTGAAGCCGCCGTTGGCGTTGTGGCAGGTCCCGCCGTTCTGGCAGGCGTTGGGCATCAGCTGGCACTCGTCCATGTCCTTGGTGCAGTACTGGCCTGTGGCGGCACCCGGACTGTTGGGCCGGGCGGCTGCCCCCAGGCCGAGACCCTCACCCCACTGGGGACAGGGGCCGCCTCCACCAGGAAGCCTTCCCGGTTACACTCCTCCACCCACGGCCAGCCCATCGCCTCTTCCTTCACACCTGCGGCACCAGAGGGGACCTCTGTCTCCCCGCTCTGTGCACAGAGGCACACTGGGGCCCACGCTGGCCTGTCATCCCCTCCAGATGGCGAGCCCACGGGCATGGCCTGCATCCCACTGGCCAGCATCCCTGTGTCCTGCCCAGCAAGCTCGGCCAAACCTGGGGACCTCACGCTGGCACAGGGCTGCCCAGGGCCAGGCTGCACACGGCCCCACAGACCAGACGATGCCGTCTGTGCCGATGGCTGGGCTGGGGGCCTCAGACCCCGGTCGCACTGTCCCTCCCGGGCTGCGCCCGGCGCTCGGGCCCCTCGCCACCACCCCGTGCGCCCCGTGGCCCTGCCTGTCCACTCCGGCGGGCAGCGGCAGTTGTAGGTGTTCACCCCGTCCACGCAGGTGCCCCCGTTCTGGCAGCCGTGTCCTGGACAGTCGTCGATGTTTTCTTCACAGCTGTGGCCGGTGAACCCTGTGGCAGGAGGGGCCGGAGGTCTGCTCAGCCCTCTGCAGGGTCGAGTAGCGTGCGAGGCCCTCGTCCTCTGGTGCCCGCTGCCCTGGAGTCCCCGGCCCTCTCCGCTGCTGTGACCGGCACCACACTCAGGCCCACAGGCGGCTCGTTCCTCCCAGAGGAATCTTTCAGTAATGGGCACTGGATGGATGGGGACCCGTGCACACAGGTCCTGAGGGTCTGTCACAGAGACCCTTCCATGGGGTGGAATTCTGGGGGCTCCTGTGACCGGGCGCTGCCCGCGGGCCAGGCACTGCGCTGGGGTGCTTGGCCACGGTTCCCCACCTGACCGGGGCTGCACGGGGGCTGGAGAGGCCACCAAGCTGTGAACAGGTGGAGGCAGAACCCGGTGGCAGTCCTGCGGGGAGCAGAGCCGCCTCCTCCCCAGCCCGGGGCCCACCTCTGCGGCCTCCATGTCAGTCAGCTATTTATGCACCCGGTTCCCGCTGGGTCAATGACCAACCCAGAAAGGTGTGTCCAGCAACAGCCAAACCTGCAGCAGGTTACTAATTAAACCCCTCCCAGTGCCTTTGAACCGCAGGGCTTGGAGACCAAGCCCCTCTCCCAGAGACGCCCCCCTACCAGCTGCCCTGGAGCTAAAGCAGGCAGCCTGAAAAGGCCAAATGCAAATTGGAGTGGCGTGGGGAGGACCCCAGAGTCCAGTTTGTGGAGTGCTGTGAGCACTTTGGGGGGTCTGGTTCTAAAGCAGGCGGGGCTCTGGGCCGTGCTGACCACCCCATCCCCAGGCAGGGCGGCTCCAGCTCCACCCGTGGGGCGCCCTCTGGCAGGGCCCCACACACCCATCCCACCTCCCCCAGCCCTCACCACGGCCCCACGACCTATGTGGCTACACATGAGGTCCCAGGCTCGAGGTCACAGCCACCAAGCAGGCATTTGAGCTCAGAGCCTGGGGCTCAGCCTTCAGCTGCCCAGACTGCCCGGCAGCCAGCCGTGCGGGGCAGACAGGTGTCGAGGGCAGTGCCCAGTGACAGCAGGAAGCGCATGCGGCCGGTGTCTGCACGCAGAGGCGGAGCCGTGGGGACGGCACTTCCCCTCTCGGGGGCCGGGCTGGGCCAGGGCGGCGTGGAGGTCACCCCCAGGTCAGCCAGGCAGTCCCGGGGCTCTCCCAGCACCGACGCCCCACAAACGAACCTCATCTGCACCCCCCGCCCCTCCGGCTGGGACCCCGCCACCCCGTGGCATGCAGCGGACAGCCTGGAGGTTTCGAACCTCCTTGTTATTATTTTAAAATCATCAGAACAAAATTTACTCAAACCAAAACCGTGGTGAGAAGGCCAGTATGACCAATGGGGACAGTGCAGCTCCTGGGGACAGTGCGAGGGGGAGGAGGGCTGTGCCTGCCGTTGCGCCCCCCACCATGGGGGGCAAGCGGGGACAGGAGGAAGGGAAGGGCCACCACTAGGGGAAGTGACAGTGCCAGCCCTGGCCCGGCCACACCCAGGAACCGGGGAAGCCCCACGGTTGCACAAGCGAGGTGCTCCCTACAGCCAGTGCGGGGGGCGGGGGCAGCTTCAGCAAGTTGCACGGGTTCCAGGAAACTCGAAACAAGGGGGATCGCGAACGGCTTGTAGCCGGCTCGTGCCTGCCACTCCGGGAGGTGCAGACAGGGACAGGTGCCAGGGGCCAAGACAGCAGGGTCACCTTGGGAGGGGTCACCCAAGGAGGCGACCCAGCCAGACTCGCTCAGGGCCACGCCTCCCGAGCAGCCCTTCCCGGGGCTGTGGGGGCCCAAGCCCCTGGCACGCGGGAGGGGTGTCGGGGGTCATGGGCTCAGCTGTCCAGTCACAGCAGACCCTAGCCCAGGCAGGAGCAGGTGGGTGGGGGCCGGGGAGGCGTCTGGACCCGCACAGGCCTCCGAACACTGTTCCTCATTCCAGACCCGGCTCCTCCCCCTCGCTCTCCCCGGCACCGGGCGCTGCGTCCCCGCACGCCTGCGCCCCACCCCAGCGGCCACGGGCAGTACCTGGCAGGCAGGCGCACTCATGCGTGGTGTCCCCCGTGGGGCGGCAGGTGCCGCCGTTCTGGCAGGGGGAGGGGCTGCAGGGCACGTAGGGCAGCTCGCAGTGGGGGCCGGTGTGGCTGGCGCGGCAGGCGCAGCGGTAGGAGCCCAGCTCGTTGAGGCAGGTGCCGCCGTTGAGGCAGGGCCCGGGGCTCTGGCTGCACTCGTTCACGTCCTGCCGGCAGGTGGGCCCGTGGAAGCCGGCCGGGCAGCCGCAGATGTACGAGGCCTCGAAGGGCAGGCACTGGCCGCCGTTGGCACAGGGGTTGGAGGCGCACGGGTCAGCCTGCTGGCACGTCTTCCCTGTGGGCGAGGGAGGCAGAGGGTCATGCACGGAGGCGTTGGCCTGGGCAGACGGCACCCTCTCCTCAGCCCTTAGGGCCCCGCTACAGAACCCCACATTCTTGCCAACAGGGACTGAGGTTCCGAGGGGCCATCCCAGGACACACGCCATGTGGGAAGGGGGTGCCCAGTCTGTCTGCCTGCAGAGCCTGGCTCTTAAAAACAGCGCCCTAGCACCCCCGGCTGCAGAAGGAGGGGTGTCCCCTTTACCCAGAGGCAGGGAGGGGCAGGGGCCCTGGAGCGGGGCCCTCAGGCAGCCACCCGGAGCTGCTTCTGGACCACGGGTCCCCCTGGCCCAGGGAAAGCCCGGGACACCCCAGGCACGCCGACGGGGCCGGGCGCGTGCGGCAGCGGGGGACGGGTGGCGGGCCCAGCGGGCGGTCCTCACCTGACCAGCCCGGTGGACAGCGGCACTTGTACTCTGTGAGCGTGAGCAGGTCGCAGGTGCCGCCGTTACGGCAGGGGCTGGCGAGGCAGGCGTTGTCCCAGGGCGTCAGGCAGAGGGGCCCGGAGAAGCCCAGGCGGCAGCTGCAGGTGTAGGCCAGCACGCCGCCGCGCTCCAGCACGTGGCAGGTCCCCGCGTTCTTGCAGGGGGCGCTGAGGCAGGGGCTGTGCGCCTGGCACCGCTGGCCCGCGAAGGCCTCGCCGCAGCTGTGGCAGACACGGCAGCGAGGCAGGCGTTGTCCCAGGGCGTCAGGCAGAGGGGCCCGGAGAAGCCCAGGCGGCAGCTGCAGGTGTAGGCCAGCACGCCGCCGCGCTCCAGCACGTGGCAGGTCCCCGCGTTCTTGCAGGGGGCGCTGAGGCAGGGGCTGTGCGCCTGGCACCGCTGGCCCGCGAAGGCCTCGCCGCAGCTGTGGCAGACACGGCACAGCGCCCCGGCACCAGGCACAGCGGGGCCGGCTGCTCGGTGGCCGGGCCTCCGCCAGGGGCAGCAGACAAGGGGTGACCGCTCGACATTGTGAACGCGCCTGATGCCACTGAACTGTGCACTCTAAGTGGGTGATTCTCTATTAAGTAAATTTCGTCTACGTTTTTAGAAAAAGAACAATTGCGTCATTTGGGGCACCAGGGTCGAGACCGGGATGTTCGGCAGAACACGGCTTTGATGTTAAGACGCAGGCGTCTGTGTCTGCGCCTCAGCCAGCCACCAAAAAGGGGCCCACAGCCCAGCCCAGCCGCTGTCGGGGAGGAGGGTGCGCTGTGAAGGGCTGGCCTGCCTCTCTCTTCTCTGGCGCCTGTGTAACGGACGCGCCTGATCTGGGTAATAAAAACGTTCAGTGTTTTGTTTTCACCATCGATTTGACAGCAGACGTGGAATTCTCTCTGTCAAGGCTCCTCCCCGACGGGGGTCTCGCTGGGACGCAGGCAGGCACCCCACCCCGACGGCACTTAGCACCCCATCACCGCTGCTCCCTTCTGGGACCAAGTCTTCACAGGAAACGTCAGGCAGCATTAGCCAGAATCAGAAGCACCCACTTTCCAGCTGGAGAAACGGCACTGCCGGGGGGGCGGTGTCCTCACGGGCTCTGAGCGGCTGGGGGGCCCAGGGCCACCTCGCCCACAGGTCTGCTCCCCACCCAGGAGGGAGTGCCCTGCCTCCCTCAGCACTGGACCCCCCAGCTTCGGGAGCATGGGCCATAAACTGCCAGCCGAAGCCTCCTGTGGCCCGGCGCTGCGGGAAAGCTCCTGGAGGCGGAGGCGGAGGCGGGACGGCCCGCCCGGCCCCGCACAGCAGCCCGGGAAGGCAGGGCCCGTGCTGCGCCCACAGCTTTGGGCACCGGCGGTGGGGGGGGTCTTCTGCCACCTGGGGGCAGTGGGCAGCCTTAGGTCCCCTGGACAAAGAGGGGCCCTGCACAAAACCCCCCGCCTTCTGGACCGCCCCCAGGGGGGGCTGTCCCCCATGCCAGCCCGAGGCCAGCTGTGGCCACAGAGATGCCAGCCCGCCGTCCTCACTCCGTCCCCTCCTGCCCACCCCCGGGCGAGGCAGCCCCAGCGGAGAGATGGGGTCGCCTGGGGGGCCGGGGCCTGTGCGTCGCTCAGCAGCTGGGCTGCGCCCCTGTCCCCGAAGGCTTTCATCTGTGGCTGCGGCTGGGGCAGGGTGGACGGGGAGGGCGCAAAATGGCCACTCTGGCCCACCATCTGTTGCCAGAAGCCAAAAGTCCCAAACCAACTGGTTTAAAGCAAACAAGCTGCCCCCCGGGAGGGCTGGAAGGTAGCCCAGGCCTCGGCCTCACTTCCCCCCACCCCCGCCCCGGCTCAGCGCTGGTGGCCCAGGGCCGGGGCTCCTGCAAGGCTACACTCTTGGAGGCCCCCTCGGCCTGTGGGTCCAGTTACAGGCCGTCCCGTCCCAGCCTGGGCTCCCTGGGAACACAGCTGGGGGTGGGGGACAGGGCCAGCACCCCCCACAATCAGCAACGCCCTTATTGTCAGCCGGGAGCCGGCTGCCCGCTCCCACCTGGAGAAATGCTCCAAGCTCTTTATTTCCCAGCCACTGGCAGGGAGGGCAGGCAGTGGCTGCTGGACAGAGGGCGCCTGGTCATCGAAGCAGGGTGGCCCATGCCTCCCTCCGCACCCCTGCCCCACTAGCTCGGGGGAAGTCCTCCGCCACAAGGCGGCCCAGTGCCCTGCCTTGTGTGGGCTAGGCCTGTCGCTGGCCCTGTGCCTCTACAGCAACCCCCTGCTCAGCACCCTAATGTGTCAGGACGTTGGACGTCCCCAAATGGACCCGAGAGCCCTGCCCAGATGTGCACTCTGAACCCCCCAGCCACAGGGTGGTGTCCCCGTGAACAGTCCCCCTCTCTCCCCTGCCCTCCGTCCTGGGTGGGGACCCCACCACGAGACTTGGGGAGAAGCCGCCTGGACAGCATCGCAGCCGGCCAGGCTGTGTCACACTGGGCCAGCCAGAGGGAAAGCAGGCCAGCAAGTCAGGCGTGGGCAGCCTGGGCAGAGAGTGGCCGGGGGTGGGCGTGCGGGTGACAGGGGACGCAGGCAGCAGCTGCTCCCTGGTGGGCGGGGCAGGAGCCACAGAGGCTCCTCCTCGGGGGATGTGGCAGCTGAGAGGGCCCACTGTGCCCCAACTCCCGCCCAGGGCCGGCGTGAAGGCACGCTGCCTCTCCCGAGCTGGGCCTGGGCCGGGCCACCATCTGCCACCAACACCCCAGCTCTGGGATGGGCAGGGCCACTGGAGGAGCCGCCCGTGGAGGTGGGACAGCTGTGGCAGGTGCTCTGTGGGGGAGTGCCGAGTTCCAGGTGCAGCCTGCAGGAGGGAGGGCTCTGCGGCCGGCCGAGCGGGGCCTGGGGGCGGGCAAAGCAGCCCTGCGCCGATCACTGCCCTGGGCTCCCGCGCCTGCTGGGGCAGCCCACCGCCCCCCTCCGCTGCAGCTCTCGCCCAGCCTGGTCACGACGCCAGGCCCTCCCAGGGACAAACCTGTCTCCTCCTCTGCCGACAACCACACTTCCCTAAGAAGGGAAGAGCATGCAAGGCCCCAGATCGGACGGCGCCACGCGGGCCGGTGACCAAGCCCCTCACTGTCCTCAGCGCCTGTCCTGACGGGTCAGTGTAAGTGGCCAGTGGGATGGGCCCAGGCCTGGCCAGGAAGTCACACATACCTTGCAACGCAGGGACCTCCCAGAGCGGGCCCAGCCCAGGGCCTCAGCGACTGGAGCCACACCTCCGGCCGGCCCCATGCCCCCCCGTCAGGGTCAGTGTGGAGACGCACACGCTTACAGCCCGAGGAGCGCCCTGTCCGCCCCACAGCCCAGCTCACGGCGCCCCGAGGCCCACGCAGGGGTGGGGGGGCCTCCTGGCTCCCCTCTTGCCGGTCCCCTGCCCCTCCCTCGCCGTCTCTCCCATCCCACACACAGCCCGTCCCCGTCCAGGCCCGGGTGCCTGGCCCCGCCGGCAGCAGGTGAGTGGCAGGTGGAGCTGGGGGCTGCGGGAGAGCGCTTCCGGCAGCCGGCCCGGAGGAGCGCCAAATGGCCGCGGTGCCTGCTGTCCCGCAGCCCAGCCTGGCTTTGTTCCCGGCTTCAATGTTCCCACTGTGCCGGCCCCTCCCCCAGAGCGCTCGGCTCCATAGAAATGTGACTCCAGAAGCCGCGGAGGCAGATGTCACCTCGACCTTTCACCCAGGACTAATCCCAAATTGTGCTGTTTTCCTTTCTAAACTACGCGGCCATCTGCCACCCCCGGGGGACAGATGACAGCTCCCCCCGCCCCAAATGGGGAGAGAAAGGGCGCGGCCAAGCGGTGCCCGGTGGACTCGGTTCTGCCCTCGAGGAGCTTCTGGTCCGACGCAGGGTCGAGGGGTGAGGCGGCCCCCGCCCAGGCAGCTGGGGGTCAGTTCTCGGGCCCCTGTCTCCCCATGGGAGGCGCCTCCTGGGGTCGCAGTAGTTCAAGAGCTCTTAGGGGTGGGAAGGGGCCCTCCACCCCGCTCCACCACCCACACTACGGCGTAGACGGCCCGCGTAGACGGCCGCTGCCTCCGGCTCCCGGGGGGCAGCCCTCAGGCACATCCAAGTTGTCGCCTGGTGACTCAACCATCGGGGCCAGAGTTGGCTTTGATTCTCGTGAGATTCACCGACCACACCAGGCGGGGCACATCTGTTTGGGGACGATGGTGGGGACACAGGTCTCTCCTGGTGCAGAGGTGCCCGCCCTGCCTGGGGCCAGGACCCGCAGCCCACACTCCAACCCAGAGAAGACCGGCCCCCTCCGCGTCCTGGTCCCTCACACATGGTGTCCGGCGGCCTGCACAGGCATGTCATGGGAGGAGCCGCATGGCTGTAAGTGGCCGTCCGTCCTGGCCTTTGCCCTCCAGGCCTGGACCACCTGTCCAGAGCAGAGCCCCCTGCCAGGTGCAGCAAGGAGGCAGGACTGTGCCTCCTCACCCCTCCGTAGGCCTCCCCCAAAGCCCGAAGTCCCCCCGACAGCAGAGCAGTCAGACCTGGCCAGGAAAGCGATGGCCGCTTCCTCAGACGCCCACCCTGAGCCACCACCTGCCTGGGGTCCTGCTTTGCCACAGGAGAGGTATGTCCTACACCCCGTCTGGTGGGGCTGTGCCTGCAGAGGGCCTGCCAAGAAACCCCTAGACTAGCACTGCCCCCCTCACGGGCCTCCTGCCCAGGAAGGGGAACTGGGGTCCCTGGACCCCTGCTCTGTAGACGCTGACCAAGTAAGTCAGTGTCACCAGGGCCCACCGCTGACGAGGGCCCCGGGAACACGGATGGCTTGGTGATAAAGCCAGGTCCTGTGGCACTAAGCAAAGACCCACTAAGGCCTGGCCCTCCACCCAAACCATCGAACTGGACACAAAACCAGGGGCCACTGCCAGGCAGGCCACCTGGCCTGGAAGAACAAAGCTGCCCCCCATCCCCGTCCAGGAAGCGAGGCATCTGCAGGCAGGGGAAGGGGACTCTGGCCCCTTAGTAATGGGGGAAGATGAGGCCTGAGGGGCACAGGCCCTGGGTCCCCAGACTCCTGCCTGAGAGGGGGTGGGGTCAATGAGCCCAAATGTCCCTGGCCAAGGCAGGGGGGTGGTCCTGGGACCTCAGCTCCTCCCTGGGCAGAGGTCGGTCCAGTGCCCCCGCATGCCAGGAGGGGTCCCCATCTGTTGGGAGGCTAAGGGCTGATGTGCTCACAGCAGACTGGGTGGGGGCTAGGGGACCTCTGCTGCCCCCCACCAGCCCTCCACCCAGGTGAAAGCCCGAGCGAGACCTGAGCCAGGGCTAGAGATGGCCAGGTGGTCGCTCAGGCCCCTCGCCGCGCCTCCCAAAGCCAGGCCGGCCCCAGACGACCTGCCTGAGGGGTGGGCTGGAGCCAGCCAGTGACACCTGGGATCTCCTGGTCTTCTGCTTCCAGCCCCCCGCCCCCCACAGGCAGTCAGGGGCGTGGGGTGGGGTCAGGTGGGCGTGCCTGGGGCTGCCCAGCAGAGTCGGGCTGCAGTGTGGGGAGCTGCCTCCCGCCTCTGCACCCACTGGGCTGCTCGAAGCTGTGCAGTGGCGGGCGGGGTGGGGGGCCGCCAGGCCCGCTGCAGACAGACCCCAACCCCAAACACCAGTCGCCCCCCAGACCAGAAGGGCAGCAAGGGGCCGGGCGGGGCGGGGCGGGGTGTGGCTGAGCCCTGGGGCCTGCAGCCCCGGCATCTGGGCCCTCGGCCTGCGCGGCTCTCGCAGGCGGCACCTCAGCACGGTTTAAAGACGCTGGGAAGAGGAAGGGCGGGAAGAGCCGCGCTCGTCCTGGCTCCGGGGAAGCCCTTTGTGTGGGGACGGAACCCGTCCTCCCTGGAAGCCCCCTTTCCCACTGCGGAGAGAACAGTGCCCGACGCTCATTGTCCCCCACGGCCCCCAGCCGCCTCGCCCTGGACGTGGGAAGTGGCCGGCAGAGGCCGAGCTGCCTCCCAGGGGCCCGGCCGCCCAGCACCGCAAAAGGCACGGCCGGGGTGCGGGGACTCCCAGGCCCACTGTCACGGGGGACCCGCGGGCTGTGGGCACGGGGGGACAGCTTGCTGAACCCTTCCTGTGGGGGGTTCCCCACCTGGTCCCCAAAAGACAGAGCCCGCGGGCTGTGGGCACGGGGGAACAGCTTGCTGAACCCTTCCTGTGGGGGGTTCCCCACCTGGTCCCCAAAAGACAGAGCCCACGCTGGAGACGAGGTTGAAATGTGTCCCCCAGGCCCTCCCCAACGCCCACCGCCCCACGTGGGCCCTGGAGATCCGAGTGGATGAGCCTGCTGAGCCCGCGGCCCCCACCGCTGGAGAGGCCAGGGACCCCACAACTGCCAGGGGCTTCGGCTCCCGAGCAGGGCGGAGCCCAGACACAGCGAGCGAATCGATAGGCACGTGAGGCCGGGCACACAGGGAAGGCTTAATCCAAACTCGATTAATTAAGTCAGCAACTGCGCACAGCCCCACGCCAAAGCCAGGCGGGTCCTGGAGCTCCCCTGCCTCTGCTCCCAGGAGCAGGTGCCGTGGGGGCGGGGGGATGTCCTCCCTGACACAGAGTGGGCGGGCGGACACTCGAGCAGCCTCAGCTCCATGTCCAGCTCCGTGTCCAGTGTTGTGAGGATGCAGGGGAGGACGCCGAGGACCCCTCACGGGGACCCCAGGATGAAGAAACGGAGCCCTGACCCCGCCTGCCCTTGGAGGTTGCTGGCTTAATCTCACAGGTGCCCTGCAGGCCCCCCGGGCCCAGTTCACAGGTGAGACGACTGGGTGCAGGCAGGTTACGGCCGTGGTACCACCTGGGTCTGAATGCAGCTCTTAACCTTCCTCGCCACCAATGGTGGCCAGACTCTGGGGGGACGGGGCAGTCAGAACAGCCCTGACCCCGAGGCCACCGAGGAGCCGGCAGGAGCGCCGGGCAGCGGAGGGAGGTGTGCACCCCAGCTGCTGGTCCGCGGCCTCGGTCTTTCACCTGACCACCCGATGTCCCCAGACCGACCCGGACAAGGCATTCCTACAGCCTTGTCTGAAACACAAAACCTGGGGTGGGGGTGGGGCTCTGGCGAGAGGCCTGGGCATTGGGGAGCCATTCTGCCAGCTTCTCTGGGGCCAGCACCCCTGCTGTCCAGCAGGACGGTCACACCAGCGCCACAAACCTGTCACCGACCTCAGCCTCGGTGCCGAACGCGGCGTGGCATCGGTTGGCACTGGGGACAAGGAGATGGAGCCCACACCTGGCATTCTCCCCCTGCTCCCGGGACGCCCCCTTGACTTTGGGCAGCGGGGACCCTGGTGCGGCCAGCTGTGGGCTGGCTCTAACGAAGCTGCAGCGCGGGATGCAGGCTTCAGTGGAGGTCCCCGAGGTCACCCCCATTCTGTATCGATCTCTAGCCCCTTTCCTTCTGGCTTCTCCCCCAGTTCACACCAGCCAACTGCTCCTCAGCCCCCAACCCTGCCCCCCAGGCTTGCGCACAGGCCCACTGTGCACCTGGCTGTCCACGCACAGCCACCGAGGCACCTGGGTACAGCAAATGCCAGAAGACAGAATCCAGCCAGCTGCACCCAAGCCAGGGTGGGTCCAACAAGGGAGGGGGTTGCATGTCACACCCTGGGGTCACCGGGGATCCTAGGCCAGTGGGCATGGGCTGAGAGCTGTCTGGAGGCTTTTCCCTTTGGGGAAAGTTTCTTGGGCTGGCCTTGACCCTCTGCCCTGCATGGCCTCACCCAAGTTCTGGGGCTGGACACAGCCGTGGAGCGTGAGGAACGGGCTCCAGCGCAGAGTAAAACTCAACTGACGTGGTCCTCGGGGATAGGGGACCAATCTGTCCCGCCTTGCCACCCGTGCGAACCCACGGCCATCTCAAGGTCAGACGCCGAACGAAACAATGCGAGCAGTGCCGGGCGGTGCCCGCGCCAGCAGGACCTCTGAGGGGTCCTGCACTGCCCCCGGCGGAGGCCAGGTTCCTATCCTCCCGGGAGGAGGCGGGCAGAGACGGTGGTGAGCGCCAAGGCCATGTGGCCCACGTGGTGGCCGGCAGGCAATTCCACAGCCCATACCGCTGACCACGGCGCCATCTGGCCGGCGTGCTAGACCCGGGCAGCATGGGGTGACCGGCTCGGAACGCGTCTCCCTGTGGGCTGGAGGCCAGGCCTTGAGCAACCCGGAGCCGCCCGGCTGGCTCCAGCC